GCCCCTGTTCCAAGGTGTCCCCATCACCAGGGACTTCCCACGAGACTGATGCGTTCCCGGCAGTCTGCCCTGCTCAGGCTGCCTTCCACAGCACCAAGGCCGGCCCCGAGCCCCTAACACCACGGCAGCAAAGCTCGAGAGAAGCGAGTAAACGCGACCCCATGGGCCTCAGTGCTGCCACAGCGTGGCTGCCTACCCCGCGGGGGAGAGGCCAAGCCGCCCCACACCAGCTGCCCCGCTGGCTCATCGCCCTCCTCGTTTCACCACGCTTCAGACCGGCCCGGGCATCACAGCAGGGAGCTCGATGTCGCAGTCACGTTAACTCTGAGGTTAGGAACACCGGAATTGCTGAAAAAGGCTTGGAAAATTAAGGTGGCGGGTGGCTAACGGCAAAAGAGAAGGGCGACTGCTAACACGGAGCAGGCGGCACCCAGCCGGAACGAGACAACCGGGAGGACATCACGGCGGGGTCGCGGGCAGAGGGTTAGCCGTACCGCTGCACGCAGGCCGTGCTCCTGAAACCACCGCGCGCTTCTGGGTCTTTCCACAGGCCAGTCCCGTTGCGTCCTACGCGCACGCTGAGGCGAGTGCGAATTCCGCTGGGCTGCCTGCTTGCGTGGAAAACCCTTCCAAGCGGGTAAGCAGCGACAACAGGCGCCCATCCGTAGCCAAAGAGCACCGTTTTCTCACGGATGTTAACACCCTGGGGGCATTAGCAATGTTTAGTGTTAATGTTACCACGACTGCCACCTCTTCTTTTCTTGAGCGAGGGAGATGGAGAGATTTTACTGGTTTCACCTGGAATTACCCAGCCAGAAAACAACTACCTGACATTTAAAACTTGGCCCCTTTCAAATCTGAACGTTGGCTCGCAACCGACTTCGACTGGCACGTGCCTAGCAACAAGCATCCCCACCTGAACGGCGCTTGAGTTCCACCTGCTCCCACCTGCAGCTGGTTCAGAAACACCCGCAGAAAGCTATCCATCTGCCGCTAGGAGTCGATACATTAGGAAAAAGAGTGGGAACGTGAACTCCGGGGGTTTCCTACTGGGATATTTGGTTTTTTTGGCTCATTGCTTTCCAGTACCCACCTCAGCTAGGCTCTGCTCCCTGGCTGGGAACTGGCGGTTTGCACTACTGCAGGAGAAAGGATGCGTCTTGGCTCCGGCATGGAGACATGATGCGAAATTTGCCCAGGCAACAGAAAACTCTGCTTGCAAACAAATCCTTTTTTAATGGGTCAACATGGTTGAGAAAACAGGTGAAATCCACCTCTCATCGTTTTCCCTGCTCTGTATTTTCTCTGCATGCTCCCAGTGCAAGCCCTGCGATGGAGGAAGGGATGGTTTTGGACTTCAGAAGGGTACGGCAGGCAGGCGGTGGTGTCACCCTGGCCAGGGCTCTGCTCAGCAGCAGGTGAAGCTGCACCAGCATCCCTGGCTCTGACCACCCGAGGATCCCGGACACCACAGACTGTTTCCCGAGGAGTGCCACAGACGCGTGATTCAGCACTACCGAGGCAGGGGATCCTGGGGTTATTTAGACACATTTCCGAGAGCTCTGCCGACTACGAGAAATCGGGAACTGACTATCCAAAGTTAATCCTGTTTCTAGCCTTCTGCACAGTTCCCTCTGAAAGGTCTCCCGGGGCAGGCTAATGCCCCCTTCCCCTCTCTCTGCTCCTTCCGTGTGACATCTATGGCAGCGAGACTTTGCCGCCGGGCAACTGAATTAGCACATCCCACAACGCCACAGCCCCTCCCACTTCGACCCACGCATTCTCCTCGCCCGCTGCAAGCAAGGCCGCTGATCTCGAAACATCACAAGCACTTCCCACGGCACGGCCCAACACCTTGCTCGGCCCCTTCTTAGCAGCGTGCCACGCGCCGGTTCTGCGCCCTCCCGCCTCGCGAACGCTTTATTTCAAAGGCATCCTGCAGGAGTAACATCGCCTTCCCACGCAGATCCGACTGCAGGAACAGGATAGCGCGTCGAGTGCGTTTTCAGATGACCGTAGCGGCAGCAGAGGAAGCACAAGGGGTTGCCTTTCGGCAGAGCAAGGCTGCCTGCGAGGGCAGGATCTGCCGAGGGAAGGGTCTGCATGCTGAACTGCCTTTCCCACGAGAAAGCCGCGCGGCCAGAAGTCACGCTACTCGCTCCGCCCGTCCGACTACAAAAGCAACTTCTGAAATCTACCGGTCATTAACTTTTAATTGGCCAGGGCAGAGCGGCTCAGTAGGAAAATCCCCCTTCTCCCTCCCCTCCGGGCAATGAGCTAAGCAAGACTCTTGTTTTAAAAAGATTTAACTCTTTTTTGCTGAAAGTAACATGGAAAACGCATCCACGTCACAGGTAGTCGGGAAGATACCGTTACTAAAAATATGCTGCAAGAATAGGGTATCAGTGGCACTTCACAGCAGTTCGGAACATTTTCAGATGCAGCGTCAGACGACGTTCTTGTGTATCTGAACATGCTTTTTGATAACAGAAATGGAAGAAAGTCACAGCATGTTGCCAAATATTATTGAAACAGAAGTAATCCCGTAAGAAAAACTTTTTTTTTTTTTTTGCAGTTAACACAAAACTGTAAACTGGGTCGGTGTGTGTCTTTCAGCATCAAACTGGTCAGTAATAAATATGACAAAGTCTTAACAGACAACGGAGTAAAAGTTCCCTTAGTGTCCAGGTTTTAGCAGCTGTTGAATGCTCAGGGATGCACAAGGCACACCTCTGCAGATTCTCTACCTTTATTATTGACATACAAAAAAAAAAAAAAAAAAAAGAGAAAAAGATCCGTTCACCACTCCAAAACGTTTATCTGCATAGTAAGAATTTTTCTACTACTATTTACAGGAAGGGTTTTTAGTGCAAAAACCAGGAAGCGATGCCTCAGTTGACGCGCATCGAGCACATCTCGTACAGTTCCACCAGCAACTCCTTGGTGTCACATCTTGGGCCGCCAGCCGTTAATGAACTGTAGTATTTTCTTAACCTGCAATTTGCTTAGCTTAAAGTCTTCCGACAGGATTTCTTCTGTGAGCTGAACCAGTAAGTTGCCGTCAATCTTCTCTGTGACAAAAAATGATATGACGTCTTCCGACAGACCAATAAACCTCAGCGATTTAGACACTTCCTCTATGGAGAGCCCAGAAAGGTCCGTGGGTGGCTGCCAGGGAGAGCCGTCCCCACAGGATCTTGGTGCTAACTGGAGGTGGAGGGGAGACGAGAAGGGATAAGACACAGAGAACGTATCCTGCATGCCCTTTTTAACGAGATACTGATCTTCCAAGAGGTCTGGAGAACCAGTTTTCGACTCCTCCTCGGCACCGTCTATTTTCAGCGGCAAGGGACAGGTGTCTGTGACCGCCTTCTCTTCGCTTGACTTCGGTGCCCGAGGAGGTAAGGCAGGACAGGAATGGCTCTGCTTTGTGTTGCTGACTCCCAGAGTTTTCTCATCAGTGCAGTCTAGAGAGTAACTTGCCGACTTCGGACAGGTAGAGATGGTGTTTGTGAACTCTGCTGGGGTCAGCGGGGAGTACCCCGCCGGGAGCTCACACCCATCGAAGTCAAAAGTCAAAGGTGCTGGACAGTTTCTCTTTGGCGTACCCGGAGTCTTCTGTCTGGGGTAACTGTAGCTCCTGCTGGGATCCAACAGGAAATTGCTCCTGCTCGGGCCTTCAGCAGTTCCTGAAAAATGGTTTGGCCAAGATAACCTCGAAGGCAGAGCTTCAGCTGAGGGGCTTCCCAAAGGCATCGTGCTCTCAGGCTCTTTGGATTCGGTTTTCGTCACGTTACAAGGGTAGCAGGAAACAGGCGTGCTCTCCGCTGGGTTGGCGGTGTCGCTCTCCGTGACGCTGCTTCAGGAACAAAGCAGAAAGGACGTCGTTAGTACGAACAAGCGTGGCATTTGAATAAATTCAGAGATCACCTGACAGAGCCAGAGGGTGGCTGTCACAAGGAAAGAATCTTCTTTCCTCCAGCAGAACTTTACAGCTTTGAATTAACAACACGTTTGAATAATGCACTGACAGGTCTTTTACTCCCTCTGCAAGGCTGACAAGATGCTGATACACCCAAAAGCCTCATGTCTTGGGCTTTACAAGCTTGTAAAAAAAGCAGATATCTCAATTCAGTTCTGTGTGTCTCCTGACAACTCAGTTTTTCCCCTGTCAGATTCCTGAGGGACACCACGGTGGAAAAGGAACAGCCTCACATCTACTAGATGATGGTCTAATCCTGTATTTCATACTTCTATGCCACCGGCATGTCACGGTATGCAAAACCTCCTAACGGGGAGGTCACCACGGCGCTAGACCCAAGCTTGACTGACGTAAGCGATGACCAAAAGCCCTTTTGCGGCCAACATTTTCATTTGCTACGGCACTGGCACGTGCACAGGATCCTTCCCCGCTGGTGACCGGTGCGAAAACAGCACCGGTGCACAGCACAGTAAGACAGAACAAGTTAATGCCTACGGCCAAAGGAAGAGTTGCACCTGGAAGGGTAAGCAGAACAAGCTGCCTGTGTGGAAGTTACCAGGCTTTAAGCTTACCCCACCGTAATTCACTCGTTTGTGCGTCCATAGCCTTAAAAAGACAGGACGAGAAACACTTGCTTTTCCAAGGCACCTACACGAAGCTACCCTGACCTACTTCCAGGAGGAAAACTAAGCTCAGTCTGTCCAAGGGAACCAGTGGCTTATATGCAGCTGTTCCCGAGAGACAGAGATGCCAACAAAAGCACGCAATCTGTTGCCAAAAAGCGAATGTTTGCTGCTTCTATGCCACTTTCGAAAGAAAGTCTGAAGGATTGGGTTGATCTTTGGAATTCTGGCCAATTAAGCCAGAACACTGGAAAAAGCCAACTACCAGACTTACAAAATCTTTATTTAAACACAACAGACAGAAATCCACTGTTGAAAGAATAGTTTTAATTACTCACCTCTCTCTCTCCTGGAAACGAACTACTCGGGAAAGAAACCCAGTATCATCCTGTGACAGCTCGGTGAAAACTGTGCAAGGAGGGCAGCAGCTTTCAAAAACCCAGGAGAGTTTTGAATGGACTGACATAAAATCAGTTCCCCGTGAGCCGATGGTGAGTCAGAATGGGAGCCAACCTGTACTTGGCCAGCTCTAACACAAAGCGCAGATGCACAAGGGCAGCTCCAGCCTTTGTCACTGGAAAACTAGTTACAAAACTCGGCCCCAACAGGTACAAATACCCTCTCTGTCGAACCATCCCTGGGTCTCTGCTCCACGCCCTCCAAACTGTTCTTTTTTCCTGTTTATGTCACTCATACAAGCCTGCCAGTTAAAGCAGTTGGATGTTTACAATAGCGGAGATGGCTTTTTCCCCCCTCAACAAGGATTCGCCATCGGACGGTCATTTCTGGCTGTAAGGTACCGTTTTTCACAAACCAAGCCATCGGGCTGCTCAGTTCAGACAAGACAGAGAGTGAGGCGTGTAAACAACTCACCGTACTGAGGAATTAAATTGATCATTCCCGTTTCTGTTCTCTAATGCAATTATTAGAAATGGGAACATTCAGTGATTTAAAAGATTCATGGAATTACCAAAAACTGATAAAGTGACATTTTTCAAAGTGCTTCCTTATTCATCCTCCACCAAAATTAACTCCCTGGGACTCAGTACCAAAGGATACAAGGGAAACCTCAAAAGCAGCTCAAGCCAGGTGACAGGCATTTTTATAGGCAGATAAGGACAAATCATATTGGTTTTGTTTGTGTTAAAACTATCGGCTGCAACCCTTCATGATCCAGAAAAAAAGATCATTGATAAAAATAGCAAGATTTGAAAAGCAACTTTGCCAGCAATCTGGTTACTGAACACATGGCCAATTTTCCAGCAGCTTCCTCTGCAGCACCAGGTCAGTCCTACCAAACTGAAGATATCTGGTGTGGATCTAAGATGGAGATGAATTTCATGCAGATATCATAAAGTTCAAGGCAAATAATACCACCTGCATTCCTGAGAAACTTCACTGCTCACTCTTTTCCTCGTTCCTTGGGAGGCAAGATGTATCCTTTGCTACTAAGAGAGAAAGTGGCATTTGGTGGGCCCCAAATGCTGGGAGGTCTTGTGCTCAGCCTCCCGTGGAGCAGAGCTCGACAGAGCTACCCAACAGGCTTTCATAAAAACTAACGAGCTGCCTTGATCTGGCGTGATCACAGAACCATAGAATGGCTTGGGTTGGAAGGGACCTTAAAGCCCATCCAGTTCCAACCCCCCTGCCATGGGCAGGGACACCTTCCACTAGACTAGGTTGCTCAAAGCCTCATCCAGCCTGGCCTTGAACACTTCCAGGGATGGGGCATCCACAGCTTCCCTGGGTAACCTGTTCCAGTGCCTCACCACCCTCTCCATGACGACTGCCAGATGCACAGCAGTAAGCTGAGGTGCGCAGTACGGCTTCGAAAGGCAGCTCCAGCCAAAATTACTGCACCAACTGCATCGAGGCTGAAAGGATTTCAGTGGCGTTTCACAACAATATGTGATATCCAGACAGGCAGTATCTTGTCGTTGAAGGGATGCCAAAAATAATGGCAACAAGGCATTCAAGGCAAAAAGGAGGTGAGATGTCAAAAAGGTGCACGCGCTTTCCAAAGCCACAGGAAGAAGGCTGCGCTGCCAGGAGAAGGTATGCACAGCTGCGTTATTCAAAACTTACTGTCAACTTCCGACTAGCCTGAGTGGGTATTTCCAGTCTGTGCTACAGCGGGTTTGATCTGGAAGCTGTCTGGCCCCTTTTTCCTACACCTCACTTTGCACTCAGCGGTGTCTGCCGGCCTCTCTGTTCTCCATCACACCCACGCTGCAGGTTCCCATACAGTTGGCACAACGCGTTTCTGGATTCCCACACCCCTTCTGTGCCCCCACTTATCAAAGCTGCCTAAATCCCACCCGAAAACCAGCTGTGATATGTCCTGATCTGGAGATTCAAGCCTTTGGAGAATTAAACTGGACTGTATGGGATTTTCCATTCAGACAGCTGGTGCCACCTTACCGTGAGGTTACGGGTAGCAACATGGGCATATATTTAATATAAATTGCTGTGTCCTGTCTAGTAAAACATTCTGCTCAAGCTTTGCTTCCTCTTGAACCTTCAAAAACAACTCGAGAGGTCAACTCTCTAAACAAGTGCCTTCAACAAGAATCCTATTACACTGAACTCTCTCAAACAGCGCCAGCGTGGGGCTCTCCCCTCTCCAACACGTACATGTTGTGCAGTCCCGACGAGTAGTAGGAGAGAGTCGGGCTAGGAGAGCGGGTCTGCTGTCGCGCAGGTTTGACTGTGCGAGGAGGGATGGAAGGACTGCTGGAGGATGGCTTCGAGCTCCGCGGTGGGACGGGGGGAGCGTTCAGGAGCCTGCATTCCTCTTTTACCTGTGCAAAAGAAGAACACGTAAGTAAGCGGTGAGAAAATCCGGGCAACAGCACTCTCAGCCAGATGAAACACATCTGGGTCAGCCTTATTCTTTGAAAGGAAATAATTAAGAAGGGAGGAGAAGAGAAAAACGACGCTTAGTCATTTGCAACTAAGACATTTGCAACAGTACGTGGCTGTCTGACGAAGTCCAGAAGAACGCCTTGCTACCAGCAGAGCGACTAGCGATCTTTTCTGGGTGCTTTTCAGTAGGTATCCACTCACTGAAAAAGTAGCAGCAATGAAAAGCAAAGAAGCTTGGAGTAACATACAAAAATCAGACAGACTGTTCCAGACATTTTACATTTTGTAAGGAGCAATTCATTAGGCTTAAACTTCATTAGCGTTGTTTATTTAGCTGTAATAAACCAACCTTATGCAATGAAAAGCTCTCAGCAGACTTTGATGTTTCCTGACTTGTTCTTCCCCTAGAACACTACGGGTCCATCTCATTTACCAGATGCTGGGATGCAAACCCGGAGCTCCAGTCCCTCCGTAGCTGCCGAAGCAGTCCAGGATAAGGTGAAGGATGTAAGGCACAAGCTGAGAGGGGTGGGCAGAAGAGCCTGTCCAAGTAACACAACAGGTTGGCCTTTTGCAGGCTAGACCTCATGGCTGCAGCACTGCCTACCCGAGGCGTCCTTCGGTCTGCCCGCGTAGGAGCAAACTATCAGGATCCATCCCCATGGAAAAAATGATGGAATTAAGCCCTTAATGTCATCAGAACCTATTTGGGAGAGGAACCTTATTTAGTAGGGCTAGAGGCGAGGCAGGCTAGTGAGAATTAGGCTGCCAGGCAAGATACTGAAGGACTCACCACCTTCCCCCGGGCAGGAGGAGACCTCTAGGTCCTCCTTGTCTGGAACAGCCTTGGATGCACCAGAGAAGGGAAATTCTCTCTGCGTTTGACAGCTATAGCTGATTTTTAAATTTAACACCACCACTGCAGAACTGAAAGTTATCTCAGCAGTTCTGCAACACATAATTAGCAACTGAAGTGACTGAATTTATTTAAAAACATAATAAATGTGGAACCTTTTGCAATCCACTTCGTTGCTTTCAGAATGCAACAACCCCTTTAGTACTTCTGTGAAATGGAAAATTGGGGACTGGGCAACTGTAGTACACTTTTTCCCTAATTCAAAACAAGTCAGAATTACAGGAAATGCCCGACAGCATAAAACACTGAAATAAATCTTGTTCTAAGGGTTCTTGTTTGCTCTTTCAAGGAAAAAAAAAATCAATTTTATTCATGTTTGTTATTGAATTCAGGCATAAAACTCTTCAACCATTTTAGTGCTGTGCCCCAAGGATGCCCGAGGACTGCATTTCCCCCCTGCCCCAAGTCTGACTAGATGAAATTAATGCTGCATGCTCCTGAACCCACGGAGCCAGAGACCGTTCCGGGGAGCTCTTGGAGCACAGCAGACGGGCAAGGGGGTTAAAGGGAATTTTTTCTTGGGAAGAGGGCCGGCGTTCAAAGGTGACGGTGTAACGAACCGTGCCAAGCTCCCCCGCTGACCCAGACTGCAGAGGAGAACGAGGCCATAAATAATACCGGCCTGCGGTGCCAGTCGGTCCCTGTCACAAGACGGCGCTTACAGCTGCCAGACACGGTCCTCGGGAAACCCGTCGGGGGAATCCAAAGGAAGATTTTGCAGATTAAACTGACGAGGGCAAGGGCAAACTCGGGAGGGGAGCCACCCTCCCGAAGTCCAAGCAAACAGCAAGGAAAGGATGCGGGAGCGGAGGGGAACAGGCGCCGTGGGACAAGGATGACCATGGTGGCCACTGCCAAGGAAGCCCTCCCACGCTCCAGCGCTCCCTCCCGTGATGTGGGGACGGCGAGCCCGTTCTGATGGCACGAGGTGGATTTTAAGACCTCTGATCCTTTTCCTGGGTGCCAGCCCAAGCGCCACCAGCACCCCCAGGCCCCAGGGTCTGCTTACAGGCATCGCAGGTGCCCGTGGCAGCGACCGCTTCCGAGGCCGCTTGGGTAACACCCACCCCGTCGCCGGCACGACCGCGAGCACAGCGCGAAGGGGTTCAACGTTCTGTGCCCGCAGGAGACTGGGATTCCGGCACGTTCCACCAGGGACCTGCTTTAAATCAATCAGGAAAGCAGCCTCTGATTTTATGCAAATTACAGTGTTTGGGGACTAAAGCAATCTCTAATTTACAGGCCTTCATTCAGAGGTCATTTCTCCCCCTCTTCTGCGTTCATGCTACTTTGATTTTCTGAAAGGTATTTAGAAAATAAACATTAACTATCAGAATGCTCCACCCTGCCAGTGAGAAGAAAACCAGAACTGAAACACCCAAATGCCCTTTTTTTCTCTCCTACAAAGAGCTCCTGCGCACACGTTTTAAATTCCGTGCATGCAAAAATACAATTGCCAGCCAACCTTCATACGGCAACGCTATGGAATATCATTCTAGAGGGAGTGATGACTAAACCTCATGTTCATCAGCACCTCCCGAGATCTGCTTGGTCTATAAATACCCTACATGAGCACCATGCAAACATCTCCTCGGCCCCAGCCCACTGCTGCATTCGGGAGATCGCCGACACTCATTCCAAAGCTGTTCCAGGAAGCCACAAACCCGAGTATAAGCGATTAGCATCCTCTACAGAGATGCAAGGGGTTTGTTTTGGTTTATTTCTGACGGGGTGACGTCCCCTGCCCACCTCCAAATGCAAGCTAATATCTTTAGCAGAAATGAGTTGTCCTGCACGGCGAGAGAGCGACACCGAGACTGCTGACAGCACTCACGCATCACCCCGGTAATACAAGATGCACACGACAAAGTCGCACACTTCTCAGTCACCTTAAAAAGTAAGACAGGCAGGTACCCCAAATTCCACCCTGCTGTGCCCCCAAGAAGGCAGTCAGGAGGCCACGGGGTTTCCCCACACGCGAGGGCCCACACCAATGCTGCGCAGGCGCTCCATGGCTCTCCCAGCTCCCCGCTGCCCGGGCATGACCTGGGGGGGGGCTCACCCCACGGCCGGGGGCGGCACTCCTCCCCCCCCCCCACACACCCC